TCGTTTTACACATTGGTTTTTAACTGTACGTATAATTTTGCAATTTATTTTTCAAATAACCCATGTATCTTGGAGCCTTTTTCTATCAGCCATTCTTGCAAAGGGGTGCATAGTCTTAATATCCCATAGTACGTGAACCATGATTCAATGAGCTCTTTTCCTACTAACATTTGGGTTGTGTCCATACGTCTGTTCAGAGGTGTAGCAAGGAGGTCAGTGTGGCCTGAACAGAGTGGGTGAGATGATCAAGAGGAAATGGGGGCCAGGGAGGGTAGGGAGTAAGTATTAGAAATGGAGTAAAAGAAATTAGAAAATTTGGAGCACAAGAGTGACATGGCCTGCCTCTGTGCCATGGCCTTGCTCTGGGGTTGGGGGGCATGAGCATGGGAGGAGCCAGCTGGGAGGCTCTCCCACTAATCCATTTGAGAGATGAGAGAGCCTTGGGCCAGGGCAGTAGCAGCGAGGTGAAGAGAAGTGGTTAGATTCTGGATACGTTGAAGGTAGAGCCAACATTTACTGTGGGATTAGAAGTGGGGTGTGAGTGAGGACACCAGAGATTATCATCTCCTTGATTTTGCCACGTGGACAGGCACAAGTTTCCATCTCCTGCTTGAATTTGTGTTTCCTTACCTACTAGCAAGATTAGGTTCTTTTCATACGTTTACTGACTATCTGAATTACTTTCTCAAGAAGTACCGGTTTTCCTCTCCTTTCTTCTGGTTAATGCATGATTTCCTTAACGAAAATCTTGTCTGTGGGGCTTTTGCTTGCTTATCCAAACTCTGAGGTTAGTTTTTCATTTTAGAAATACAGCACTGCTGAGCCCGCAGATAACCCAGGATTCTTCGGGCAAATCTCTTTGCAGATGAGAAAACTGGGGCTCGGTTCAGGGAGTTACTCCAGGTTGCACAGCTCAGCGTGCCAGCCGTTACTAAAATTTTGCTTTCCTGATCACCACTCTATTTCACTTTTTATCTGCTATACCATCTTATTAGAAATCTTTTTTTTACCAATAAACCTAATGAGAGCCAATAAAGCCGTTTCTCCATGAAAACTCACCTTTGGATAGCTGATCAAAAGGAACATCAGTAAAAACATACTTTAAGCCACCGGATTTGCACCGCTTTTTTTCACTGTAACCTTTGAAAGGCGGGGTGTCTTTCCTGCCTGGCCCTCTGGTCGCTGGGCCACACTGAGATCAATAATCATTTGGTTCCTTTCCGCCTCATTACTGTTCTAATTTGCCTTCATCAAATCCACCGAAGGTGTGAGTGTAATTTTTTTTCCTACTCTATTAAGCCAACCTTTTGGATTAAGGAAAAAGAGAAGAGGGATAAAACCGGCTTATCTTAGTGAAAAAGGAATTGGGAAAATCAGAACGCGGCAAGCCAATTCATGCTGAGTTGGGCTTGGTCAGCAACTCAGCTCTCTCACTGAGGGCCTGGGGTCCTTCTAGGAAAAACCCAATGTAGGGTGCTGGAAACAGGCAAGCAGCTCTACTGAAGTAATAAGCAGAGTCACAAGAGGACCCACCCTAGCCTGATAGTTTTTAAAAGTAAGTTCTGTGTCCAGAGTGGGGCTTGAATCACGACCCTGAGATCTGGAGTCCCATGCTCCACTGACTGGCCAGCCAGACATATTTTAAAGCAGGAGGAAGATTGGAAAGACTGAAAGGATCCAGAGTAGACTGGAAGTGATGAGGGCACATACTTGCAAAGGAGAGTGGACACTTGCTAAAGCTGCTGGGGCTGAGCGGCGTGGGCACTGGATCTGCCCCCTTCCAAAGGAGCACAAAGGCCTTTTTTGAAAGAGCAGTTATGGGGCACCTGGGCGGCTCAGTGGGTTAAACCTCTGCCTTCAGCTCAGGTCATGATCTCAGGGTCCTGGGATCGAGCCCCCCACTGGGCTCTCTGCTCAGCGGGGAGCCTGCTTCCCTCCCTCTCTCTGCCTGTCTCTCTGCCTACTTGTGATCACTCTCTCTGTCAAATAAATAAAATCTTTTTAAAAAATTAGGAAAAAAAAAAAGAAAGAGCAGTTATGCTGGGTACAGAAAATTTAGAAGATGTAAGAACACTCTAACCCTCTAGCCTACTCTGTGCACGTACAGTCTGTGCATATACACTCTGTGCATGTACACTGTGCATAGAAAAACACCGGCCAAACGCAACACATGCGGTGTTTAAGCTGTGTTTCTCAGTTAACCTAATGAGCATTTTCCTCCACGTATTTAATGTCTGTATGACATGATTGATAGTGGCCATATAGTATTTTTTTTTTAAAAGATTTTATTTATTTGACAGAGAGAGAAACATTGAGAGAGGGAACACAAGCAGGGGGAGTGGGAGAGGGAGAAGCAGGCTTCCTGCCGAGCATGGAGCCCAAAGTGGGGCTTGATCCCAGGACCCTGGGATCATGACCTGAGCTGAAGGCAGATGCTTAACGACTGAGCCACCCAGGCGCCCCGCCATATAGTATTTTATTACATAAAAATTTTCCTCAAAAAAGCCTCTTTTGTTAGACCATGTTGATGTTCCTGGATTTGGAGACTGACAGATTTCAGGTAGAGGTAGAATTACCAGGTCAGAGTATTTCTTAAGGGCAAAAAAAACCACACACACAAAACCAAGACCCCCCAAACCCAAGAACATTTATTCTTTAAAAGAGAAAGATTTCAAAAGATTTTCAATGTTGAGGGGAAACTCAGAAATACAGAAAAAGAACAACTAAACATCAACTATAATCCCACCATCATTCATGTTTTGCTATATGCCTATCCTTTGAGTTTAAAAAAACATGTAAACATTCTATACAAGATTACACAGTTTCATGACAGACTTTCCTTATTATAGTATTGAGTATTTTCTCATATCTTTACCTGTTCTTCCAAAACTTAACTTTAAATGGCTACAGATTTCCCTTGTATGGTGATGTCACAGTCACTAGGATAGAACCACAAAGGCAGGTCACTTTTTGCAAAGAACAGTGCCTCTTGATAGGAAACAGTGCTCGATAACCACTTCCCAAATGAACACATGCACTTCGTCAACCAACTCCCTGTTGCTGAAAATCAAGCTTATTGAGGACTTCACTGTTACATTCTTACACAAAAGTCTCGTGGACAGCTCTAATGACTACTTTCGACTCAACTCCTAGAAGTAAGTGATGGGGTCGAACGGTACACATTCAAAAACAGAATTAGGATGACCATATAGTCATCCAACGACATCACTTCTGGGAGGACAAGGGGATGGAACCTGGGACTGCAACCACATTCCCACCGGCAGAGTGTCATCTGAGTATCGGTTTCCCCGCAGCGCATATCCTACCTCGTACTGAGTATCTATTCAGGCATTTTTAGTATAAAATAATAAAGGAAAAAAAAGATCTTCTCTTGGCTCCTCCCCCTGGTTTCAGGTTCCTGTCTCGGGGTCTAGCTTCCTTTCTCGGCATCCACCAACACTCTCTGCTCGAGGCTAGATCCCTCAGGCCCTGTGCTGTCCGCTGCCACCACTCAACTCTGTCCTGTGCACGATGAGGAGCCGCTCCAGGTCATCTCTAAACGAGTGTGACTGTGTTCTGATAGGACTTTACTTACGGATGCAGAAATTTGGCTCTTTTCTCATTTTCAGGTGTTACAAAATACTATTCCAACTCTTGACTTTTTCTACCCAGCCACTTAGAAACGCTCTTAGTCCGTGGGCAGTACACACACAGGAGGTTGGTCAGCACTTGTCATCTCCTGACTTGGAGAATGTCTGGTGGACAGCTAAAACCAACCAACCCTGGGGGATCATCCTCACGGAAATGTGGAAAAAAATCACCAATTTTTCCTTTTTCCTCAATTGCCTCATTTTCTGTTTACTGTGAAAATAGAGTCGCATTAATGAGCTTCAACGATAGGTGCCTCACAAAAATAAATAAAAATTAGAGAACTTAATGGTGTAAATAATTTTCCTCACCGTCCCAATCAGCACATCTCTCAAGGGAGTGTGGGCTGCGAGACTGGGATCTGCATTTCTCTTGGCGGGACCATTTCCACAGGCTTCTCACAGCACACATATCTCACTTTGTGGGGTTTGAGTTTATAGTCTGAGTATGTACTTTTTCGGTACCACATTGTTTCTAAACACAAGTTAGCACCTTCATCTGATACTCAACTAACTGAAGAGCAAACTATTCTGATGCTGAAGGATGGGCTGACCTACTAGATTGCTAAACAACAGATGTGGGTTTTCAGTGGGTCCTGAATGATGTACACTACGGGAAAACAAAAGGGATTTTTCCAGTGGTGATTTTAGTAATTTAAAATTATTTATTTAAAATACTTTAATTATATAAAAGTTTTCCACCATACACTAAGTTTTGAGGTTATTTAGATGTAAGGGATGAATGTATTAATTTTTATTTCTTAAAAAACAAGTATCAAAATATGAACTCAATATACAATGTTCCAAAGAAGAAAAAAGGGAGGACAGAGACATGCAGACTCAGCAAGTCTTGTCGCAAGCAGCAGGTATTCAAGTGGCTTCTAGACAGTTGTTCACACTGACAAAAGGCGGTGTTTCTGGGTCCATGCAGTAATAAAATACTGATACCATGTTTCTAGAAGGGAGCACTAAATTGCCATTATCAACTGAAATGGAAGTTGGGAGTAAATACTATCTTCATGTCATGGATGAGGAAACTGAGGCCCAGAGAAATGTAAAGCAGCTCACCTAAGGGTATGGTGACTCGAGCTGGTGGGGGTACAAATATTAAAACTTGGTGCTACATGCATTTCCCAAGCTGCCCACAATCACAAAAGATAGCAGTGACTAGAATATCAAAGAATATTCTCTCCTGTGAGATAATCACAGAGAATACTTAGGGCAGAGCGGGATGGTACAGGGCAGAAAACAGCTAGAGGGCTTCAACAGCATGAATGACGCAGCAAGTAAAAACAGGGAAAAAAAAAAACAACTAATCCCAGATTCGCTAACCCTCGAAGACAGATACAGATCTTTAATTTAAAAGAGAGTTTTATTCATGGAGAAAACAGTTACAGAACACCCTTGGGGCTTTTTTAGTCCAACAATTAAAGCTGCATTAAAAAGCCAACACGAAGAGTTTAGACCTAAAGGAAATCTGGAGAAACTACTGCTCCTCTTCCTGCGGCTTTATATATATTTTATCTTTTAGGTAAGAAAGAGCTGTGATTAATTTCTTTCCTAGGAGATGAGGTTTCTAGTTCCATTGTCTTAATGTGTATAGGATTTTTCTGTGAAGGCCAGAGAAGACGGAAGAAAAGATCACTGGATGGCTGGAAGAATGAGGATGAGACTAATGACTGGTTCTTGGGACCATGATTTTACCACAAATCATTAGATGGGGTAGCAGGAAGGGTGTCAGGTTTCCCATTAATAAAATCTGAGGTATTTAAGGCTCCAGTAACATGGCAACTCACTTCTGCCTCTCTCAGAGGTAACGGCAGAGGCTGGGAATGCTGTTCTGGCTGCTGCTTGGATTTCTCACATACAACAGAGCCAACATCTAACCAGACTGGACCATGTCCAACACATCTCTGAGCAAAGTGGCTAGCTGCTTTACTCTTCAGGATGGGTTCCAAGGCAACACTGTGATCCATGATGAGTTTTTCCCTGTCTCTGTTTTTGGCTTGTCTTGATGCTAAAGTCTATGGCAATACAAGAAAGCATGGTCATCTACTGTGAGACCTGCCTGACGAAAAGAATGGGCTCCCCAAGTCTCAGCTGTTAGGGTTTAATTTCACTCGTTTTACTTGGCAATTCTCGTCATCCAGGTGGCAGAAACCTTCTGTGGTGATGTCTCTCTTCTTCTCCTCCATGGGTTCCACAGGGAAGTCCTGGTCTGTGGCCAGTACCTGTCGGACAGTCATGTTCACACGAGCGGTCTTCAAGTAGCTGGTGCACACCTGCCAGTCCTCCTCGGAGCAGGGCTCCACCACAGAGTCTCTGGGGAGGACGGTGGGCAGAGGCGTCTCTAGGCAGCACGGCAGGCTCTCCCCCTGAGGACTTGGAAGGACCCTTGGGACCGCATGGTTCAACAGGCGGCTGGAACCTGACATTACCATGATGTCACCGCTGTGCATGAACATGGCTGTGGGCGCCTCATCTCTTTTGAGGCCACCCAGGAGAAAGATGGCAGACTGTCCGAAGCTATAAAAAAATAAGTAAAAGAACACACAACATTAAGTTTCTGTTACTAACCAAGGCTGGGAAAGTTACTGCCAACTACATTCTACTCGTATTTCAGCTCAACACATCCTCTTTTTAATCTGTTAAGAGCCTTCTCTTCCAGCCTGCGTCTGTAAGTGCCCAACCCGTGATCTGCTGCCTAAACTTAGCAGGGCCCATAGGACTGCTGCAACATAAAATTTGAAACGCTTAAATAAGCAGATTAAAAATTTAGTTTTACTATTACCCATCTTTAAGATTTAAGCCTTCCAACAAATTGAGTCCTTTTCTATATTTATCTTGCCTGTTCACTTTTTTAAAAGATTTTATTTATTTATTTGAGAGTGAGCGAGAAAGAGAGCACATTTGCAGGGGAAGAGGGAGAGGGAGAAACTGACTCCTCACAGAAAAGGGAGCCCGATGTGGGGCTCGATCCCAGAACCCTGGGATCCTGAGCTGAAGGCAGACACTTGAATGACTGAGCTCCTGGCCTGCGCACTTTAAAGATAAGACAATTAATAAAGGACACTGTTCAGGCACTTTCTCTGCAGGATACAGCTGCAGCACTTTGCCCAATTTAAACTCATGTCTAGGGAGACAAGAGAGTAAACTAGTCAGGCCTCCATACTTTACTCTTCCTTATTCTGAAAAGGTTGCTTGTCTTGCCTCAGGGCTTTCCACAGACACTGACGATACCTTTCAATACAAAAGGGAGACTCCACGCGTCTTAAACACAAACATTAACTGTAATTTGGTTACTACTCTTAAGGACAAGGTTAATTTTACTTACGACAACATTGTTAAGACACCCAGAAGTAAAAGATGGTAGAGTCCAACCATTTCTTAAATGGTTTTTATTTAGTTAGTTTAGAAACGCTTTCGAATAAGGAATGACGTGGTAGAAGGTAACCAAATCCCTAGAACCAGCTTACCTGAAAGACAGCAGGGGTTTGGAGTGATCTAGTTCAGATCTATCTACGTGGATTCCCAGTGTGGAGTCCAATCTGTAGTAATTCAGGATACCTGCCTCGGCTCGGAAACCCCGAAACCCACAGGCTGCGGCTACTTGCTCTGAGAGGAAAGCCAGGTCAGAAGGGAAAGGTGTAGAATGATCGGCTGAGTATTTCTTTGATAGAAGTAGGGAAAATAAGAAAAATAAACAATGATCTCAGGAAAATAGGAACTGTGGCATAAGATTAATTACCACCTTAAAATGATCTAACTTACATGTAATCCTAACATAGCATGATTTATCCATCTGTTTTTGAGGCATCCAGTAATCTAATGAGATATTCAAAACAGCGAGTACCTAGGACACGGCAGGCACCATGCCGCACGGTGCTAAATCAGACAAGTTCCCCCTGCATGGAGTCTACACGTGAAGCAATTACTACGTCTCTCTCTGGTATACTTTAATCCCAAATAGGATCATTTTCATAGGACAAAAAAGTGACTCAAAACTGTCACTGCCAAGAGGCACATGATGACTAAATGTGATGTGTATCCTGGAAGAGAAAAAGGACATCAATTAAAAACTAAGAAAACTGGGGCACCTGGGTGGCTCAGTGGGTTAAGCCTCTGCCTTCGGCTCAGGTCATGATCTCAGGGTCCTAGGATCGAGCCCCGCACTGGGCTCTCTGCTCAGCGGGGATCCTGCTTTCTGCTCCCCTCCGCCTGCTTCTCTGCCTACTTGTGATCTGTCTGCCAAATAAACAAAATCTTAAAAAAAAAAAAAAAAAAAAGAAAAACGAATGAACGCTAAGAAAATATGAATGAAATATGGACTTCACCACTGTAATAATGCATTAACATTGGTCCACTAATTGAGACAAAGGTACCATAATAATGTAAGATGCTAACAGGTATAATAACTAGGTGTGGGGCATATGGGAACTCTGTACTATCTTTTCAGCAAATTCAGAACTATTCTAAAACACAAAGCTTACTTAAAAAAAAAAAAAAAAAAAAAAAAAAGGAAAGCAAGCAAGCAATTCTAATACAATAGCCACTTTGGTTTTGGGCCCCCAGCCCACAACACGGCATGGTGCCAGTTTCACTCGTCAGTCTGATGGGATGACATGTTCAAAACATCTGAACTGAAACTACCTTACACCATGGTCAAGGCAGAACCTTAAAATGGAAGTAATTTCCAACATTTACTTTTCTGAACTATTTGTAGCATGTAAAGATCACAATACTCCTTTTCTCTTAAATAGAACAAAACAAATCAAAGGGCAGAACACTCACTCTCTCTACAAAACCCAGCAGCTCCGGAGAACAAGGTGGCAGTCTTCTCGGCAGACAAGGGTGAGGGCTGCTCTGCTCGGTAAGCCCGCAGGGGCCCAATGCCCCTTCTTTGTCCTGCTGCTGCTCTCACATCTCCCTCTGCCCAACAACCTCAAAGCCTATTAGCAGACCCACTTCTGTCTCACCTCTCCACTAGTACCCTGACGTATCCCAGCCGTAGCAACAGAGGCACACCTCTGGAGAGAACGTATGCACTTTGGCCAGAAGTGACCTTTAGCTTCACATTAAGGAAGACTTCTGTAGAAGGTCTCTAATGGATGGCCAAGCCTCTTCAGTTGGAATTTCTGTGTTTTATGTTTTCTTCTTTTTCCTTAAGTGCACATAAGAAGAGTTCCCATTTAATTTCCCCAAACCAAAGAACTATAAGGTTTTTCCCTATCCTTTCAAGTTTCAATCCCTCACAAGATCAACTGGTCAGAGGGGCACCTGGGTGGCTTAAGCCTCTGCCTTTGGCTCAGGTCATGATCCCACGGTCCTGGGATAGAGCCCCACGTTGGGCTCTCTGCTCAGCAGGGAGCCTTCCTCCTCTCTCTGCCTGCCTCTCTGCCTACTTGTGATCTGTCAAACAAATAAATAAAATCTTAAAAAAAAAAAAAAAAGATCAACTGGTCAGAGCTACTGTTCTAGCACTAGGTTACCTCTGTGGGCTTTCAACCCTACCTCCAACTGTCTATGCACTAGTCTTCTTACTTCTCTTTTAATTTTTGCCGTTAAGTCACTCAGTTTCTGATAATTTTTCACTCCACATTTTTCTTACTAAGTGAGAGTAACTTTAAGTCCTTGGGGAATAACAGCATCAGCAATAAATATAACATCATAAAAAACAATAAGCTAACATGTATTGTATTAACGCATTTAACTTCTCAGAACAAGCAGGCACTGCTGCAATCGCGACACAGGCATTACACCTTTGACGCTCGCCACCACGGCCCCCCCAACCCCATTATGAGGCATACACTATGGAAGGCCAGGTTCAAACCCGGGCTGGCTAACCCAGAGACGATCACCTGGCTATTTCCCCAAACACGGATATCCAGTCTTCCACTGAATCTGCATCAGTGAAGTAAGAATTATGTCATGAACATTTCCAAGCAGCATTTATCACTATTTTGAGCAGTTAATGTAATTGTTAATAGGCTGGTTTGGCTGAAACTCTGGAGCTTTTAGAGAGTTACTAGTTAGCAGGAAGATGGTCTATACCAATCTCTTTATTCAGTTTAGTCTCAGAACGAGTCCTTCTATTTGGTGGCAAACATCTAAGGGAGACAAGAGGCACCAGACTGCCCACGATAAAGGAGGTACTTTTGGAAACATGGGGGTCGGGAATGAGGAAACTGTACCTCAAGAAAACACCAGACTTTGTTAACTGAAGGACATTCTTCCCTATCTGTGTGCTGCTCAGACCTGATACAGCAGGCAAAGGTGCCTTCTGTGAGGTAATGGAGAACACCAGAGGCATATGGAGCTCCTTCTACTCCAAAGAGATATTAAACAATAATGGAAATAAAGGTTTTAATTGAGAATTGCTCTTGAATGCAGTAAAGAAAAATCTGTACCCTTAAAATGTTAAAATGTACTTAAGAGCAAGCACCAATGACTTCTGATGAAATACTACGACGTAAGAGCATATGAATTCTCTCTTGGGGGAAATTATTCATTCTTCTTGGGACACTGTTATCAAGAGGGTTTTAAGAGATAAATGAAAGAGATCCTTCCACCAATGGATAATCTGACAGTGTACAGCTTGCCCAGGAACATATCCAACTACTGAGCCCAAGGAGTTTAAAAATGAAGACAATGGAATTTGCAAGGAACTCTGCATACCTTACTGTCCCAGTTGTAATGGTAGCCCAGGGTCACCCAGCGCAACTTCTCTAGTAAGCTTCGGGGTCTCCCTTTATTCACTTCTTTGTTCCTGTGAAGATTGGGGACAAAAGAGGATTTATTCACCTCAAATGGCAGCCAACAGCTCTTTGCATGCATGGAATTTGGTATTCCTTGGTATAAGCTGTTAGCAAAGACCTTGATAGGGGAAGTGAGAGCAGCCAAAGGAATTGACCAAAATATGTAACACTAAAAAACATGTTAGCATTTCTTTCTTCTTCTTTTTTTTTTTTTAAAGATTTATTGTTTTGAGAGAGAGAGAGTGCATGTATGCTGGGGAGGGGGGCGGTGACGGCAAGTGGGAGGGGTAGAAGGAAAGAATCCCAAGCAGACTCCGTGCTCAGCAGGGAGCTGGGCCAGGGCTCAATCTCAGGACCCTGAGATCATGACCTAAGTCAAGATCAAGAGTCGGGCACTCAACCGACTGAGCCACCCAGATGCCCCCATGTTAGCACTTCTTAGTCCTTGGTTCTAAATCCTTTGCTGAATGGGATCAATTTTATTATTATTTTTTGAAGATTTTATTTATTTATTTGTCAGAGAGACAGAGAGAGAGAGAGATGGGGCACAGGCAGGAGGAGGGGGAGAGGGAGAAGCAGACTTGATCCCGGGACTCCATGGTCATGACCTGAGCCAAAGGCAGATGCTTAACCAATTAAGCCACCCAGGCGCCCCCATGTTAGCATTTCTAATTTTTAGTCCTTGGTTCTAAAACCTCTGCTGAATGGGATCAATTTTAAATGGCAAGTTTCCACCATCTCAGTAATGATAAGGTAAGAACAACACAGTAATATCTTTACCTGTCCATTGGAAATGGGACCAAGGGCACTACAGGTAATTGAAAATTTGGCTAACAGAACATGTTCAATTTGGTTTGCTGAAAGTGAGGTATGATTAACTACAGCTATCACTATGTTTATAACGATGGTGGCTTCCCAGAATTATAGGTTGGGGGGAAAAGTTTGGCAAAATATACATTGTATACAATCAAAAATAACTGGTGTAACATGACTTCTTCAACCCTAACATAGCTTAGATAATTGAGGCTTAGCTAACAATTAAGGACCACTGTAATTGATCTGGTTTCTGACATCCCCTTGTTCAAACACAGGAGGCTTCTGTAAAACAGAGAGGTGCCCTTTTTGCAATTATATCCTGTCTGATCAAATCTATGGGATTAACTACTCTTCTTCTAGAGGAAGAAGCTTCTTTGATTTTCCTCTAAATATCTAAAAATACAAGAATGCCAGGCCTAATAATTTTAGGGTTTGTTTCTCCTATGCAATTTACATCAGTAATCAAACAATTTTTTTTGGTTCAAGAACCACTGCTGTTTAAAAAAGTAAAGATTAGACTGCTTTAAGGAATTCACATTTTGACAAGAGATGACAGGTAAGTATAGCTGTCTAATCAGTTAAGTCCTCATGGCAGAGTTGGGAGTTGAACGTGGCATTGAAGAATGGCCATCATTTAAACAGAGTGGAGCAGTGGGCAATACTAGTGTACCACATAGGGAGAAGCAAAGGGATTATTAGAGGCTCAAACTGCAAGTGGCACTCGCCTTGATGTTTCAAAGAGTTTACAAAATAGATGCTATCTGTCCTCACAAAGTTTACAGTCTAAGGACATTGTGACACAGATATACATCAAGGCCAGTAGCTAAAAAGGAATGGAAAAAATACCGACTGACTGAGGAGAGCGGTGTAGAAAAAAGGCAGAGCCCCTGAAAGGCCTGTTTACAAGGCTGGTTGTTGGCAGGCATCTGGAACTTGGACTCTGGGGAGGTTCACACCATTCCCAAAACTGCTACTCACTGTGCCTAAATTTTGTGCAAAACAGTATGGTTTAGGTTAAATAGCTGTTTTCCTTCTGGGAGTCTGGAATTTGGTTTGTGTCACATAGAGACTACGGGACCAGCCCCTAGTAAGAACCTGGGGGACTAAGTTTCCCTGGTGGACAACAATTCATGCATGTTGTCACAACTTACTATTGGGGGAATTAAGCACACCTTGTGTGACTTCACTGGGAGAAAACCCTGGAAGCTTGAGCCTGGCTTTCCCAGGACTTTGCTCAATGTGTCTCTTTCCTTCACCTTTTTGGTTTGTATTCTTTGAATTAGAGTAAGTCTTATCCACAAGGACAGATATGTGCTGACCCTTCCTGGCGTATCATCAAAACTGGGTGTGGTCTTGGGGACCCCTGGCACAAGAGAAGACAGGTTATGATTAGCAGTTCAGGGGAAACAATATATATGCATGGCCAGTGACTGCAACTAGCTGATGTGAACAGTTACCATGTAGAACCACCATTCATTATTTTATTTTCTATGTGTAAAAACTAAAAACTGGGGGGTGGGGGGAAAGGAATGCATAATTACTAACACAACATGGGTTCTACCAATGTTTCTTCAGCTAAAGATACAAATAAAAAAACTCCCTAATGATCCCCTCCGGAGAACATAATCTATTTCAGTAGCCTTGAGATAGAAAAATAAGAATGACCTCTCATCTCCGGACTCCTGAGAATACTGTGGTTAACAGTGCGTAGCCCACTTAGTTTCTGCCAAGTGGTTTCCAAATTTTAATGCTCAGGGGAATCACCTAGAGGGCTTGTTAAAACCCAAATGGCTGGGCTCAGGCCTATAAGGAGACAAAGAATCTGTATTTCTAATAAGTTCCCAAGAGATAGGGATCCTGCTGAGCGAGGGAACACACTTTGAGAAACACTATGCTAGCCAAAATTAAAAAACAAGATACCTTCCACCATTCTAGATCAATAAAGGATCGTTTTATTCTTGATGAAAAACTCATGCTATTATATCAAAATTAGATTGATCTAAACTAATCAAGGTAAAAGAATGCAGCTCTAAAAATAATTCAGGGGGCACCTGAGTAGCTCAGTCAGTTAAGGATCTGTTCTTAATTTCAGTTCAGGTCATGATCTCAGGGTTGTGAGATCAAGCCTCGCGTCGGGCTTCACACTGAGCATGGAGCCTGTTTTAGATTCTCTCCTTCCCTCTCCCTCTGCCCCTCACCTCTACCACATGCCCTAACATAAATAAATAAATAAATAAAAATAATTCAGAAGGCGATGGCATTTTAGATACTCAATATAGTATCACCAAGCTGCTTTTCCATCAAGAGTCAGTCTAATGTTCCTTAGGACAGGGCATACACTATTACAATCAACACAGTTTTATGGTATTGTTTACAATAAGATAATCAAAATCATAGTAATAATCGAGCACGAACAGAAACATCCTATATTATACCTTTTAAAATCTGTTCTTCTAGAAAATCAAAAGAACATCTCTTTTCTACCTTAACTGTATTACTGTAAGGAAGGTTTTGGGCTTTGCCTTCTATTATTGAAGGGGGCTAGTGTAAGGGTGTAAAAGCATTAAGTCTAGGCCACCTAACAAAAAGGAAAAAAAACTTAAAGACTTGTGTAGTGAAAGAAGAGCTGTGATCATTGATTACACCATTTGAGGATGATTTTATACACACACACACACGTTTTGTGTAATGTGTCAGACCCAGGTAGGTTTAAGATTCCACCCCTCATTTCATAGCCTCTGAGAACACAATTTCCTTTCTTTGTATGGAATTTCTGGTAGGAAAGTAACAATAATTATAAGATTGGCCTTCTAGATGTGACAGTAGGACAGGCTAACACTAGTCACTTCCTGTCTCAGCACTACTTAGGGACCATTCTGGTCCCTGTGGGCTTTGGGTAACCAAGATTCCAAAAAACTCAGTATTGAACACTGTGAATAGTTTAAGGCCAAAACCAAATTTAACCCATGCCCAGATGATTTTCAAGCAGGAAATACTGAGAGATGAGTAAGAGGAGGGGGGAGAGGTGGGCTGTTCTCTTTTTAAACCTGACTTGTCTAAAAGGAGGCCAGGAAGGCTCAGTGCCAAAAGAGCTGCCATGTCCGCTCTACGGAGTGCAAGGGGTATGTCGGGACCTAACTTTAAATCTTTATCCAATTATCCAGAAGAATGTTTTCAAGCAAGTATGACCCTGATTATGGGTTCTCACTGCAAACAGAAACATACTCCGCTCCCTGCCCCTGCTGCAGCTCCAAGCCCTGGCAGGAGGATGACGGATGGGTGAGCTGGCCACCTTCTCCTCTGGCGAATGTGCCTACGCAGCAGTTTGCTCACTTTCTGTCATGGATAAGTGCTTTGTGTAAGTGCTGGTATTTCTCTCAGCAGTCATGTCCTCTAGTGCTGCTTTCAACTGAACCCTAACTGCGTGGAAATGAACTGCCCTGCCTGTCCACTCTTTGTGCAGGGTTAGTTTGAGTGTCATAACTAAGCACTGGGAATTCCTTTCCTACCTTGCTTCAAGGGACATTAGTGAATCATTATGAAAGCAGCAGTACTCACTCAGGGCAGAAAATGTCTAAGGTTGTTTATGATAAAAAGCCTTAAAAATCCCATTACAGATATTTGTTTTTTCAATCATTTTTTAAAGTTTTATTTCTTTACGTAATCTCTACACCCAGTGTGAGGCTCAAACTCAATGACCCCAAGATCAAGTGTTCCCTACTGACTGAGCCAGCTGCACACCCAGCTTTACTATGGTCTTTACATGTAACTGACAGATTGCCCTCTGACTTCACTCCAAAGCTCAGTTCCGTATTTCCAAAGGCAAACTGGACATCTTTGCCTGGCTACTTCAACAGGCATTTCAAAAAACATTAATCCCCAAACTACACTAAGAATTTTGTCTCTGCTCCTTCTCTTCCTCTTCCTCTGGTAATCCTATTTTTAACTTTAAGAGGGACTTCCAGAGTTTTACATAAATAATTATAGCAGCCAAGAAAAAGAAACAACCTGAGTGTCCATTGATGGGATGAATGGATAAAGAAAACACGACACACAACACATAAATGAATACTATTCAGCCATAAAAAAGGAAATCCTATCATTTGTGATAACATGAACCTTCAGGGCATGGTGCTAAGTGAAATGTAAGTGAGGGAATGACAAACTCTGTATGATCTTACTTACACATGGCATC